ATCCATTTTTAAGTTCATTTTCGTATATCTACACATTATCGTACAACTGTCATTTGTCTTCACATAAAAAACCTATATACATAGTGTTATCGACGATTTTCATATGTGTCAAATGTTTTTACTGTTTTAGTGGTAATTTTAATTATGAAAAATCCCCATTGTGTGAAAATAGGTAGTTCTCAATTGAATATGGTACCAGTTGGTCGAAGATGAATTATATAATACTCAAAAAAGAAAGGAACGAGAGAGAAAGAGAGAGATAAAGAAAAGAGACCATATGTGACTTTATTGATCTTTAAAGGTGGTGAAATCTTTATACGAGATAGACCCATATAATATTTAAAATGATATTATATATAATCCGAACAGGTTATTTATGTTAAAAAATAAAACTTAACACAAAGTAGACTTTCCAGAAGAAGATTAAGAATGGGCGACTTGCAACATTTTACAGTTCATCACCAAAAGATGTAAGAGAAAACTTTTTAGTTTTAGTCAGTTCAGTAAACGTTGCGTTGAATATCAGTGTCTGTTTAATAAAAATATTTTCAACCTCTGAAGGTCTGCTTGGAGGGAACCTTAGGAAGTCGAAAAAATTTTTGTCAAACAGACACTGATATTCAACGCAACGTTTACTAAACTGACTAAAACTACTAGGAAGTTTTCTCTTACATCTCTTGGTGACTGAGCTACAGGTAGGTACAAACTTTTCGATTACAAGTCATCTATATCGTTTGAATTTTTCATTTATATTCTGAAGCGCTTAGTATTAAAGGACAACAGTAGATATACTCAAGTTTTTATATCCTGAAGTGCGAAGTTAGATTATCTGCTGAACACTAATAATTATCATATTACAATAAATGGATTAAACATTCGTTGATTTTGATATATTCGGATATATTCGGAATAATATAATACATTCAATGAATTATAGATAAAAGACTTATTAACTAAAGAGTTTATATATAATATAATTTGATGATTTATGAGCAGTCAATCATTTTTTATATAGTTTTAATATATAAAGTAAGTCTACCTTGTTCATATACACACACGATAAGAATTAATTTAATGACTTTACTATCAAACTATTCTATACACTTGATTATAACATTTTTGAACCGATAGCATTTCGTGTGAATATAAATAATTTTACATTTCTCTCGTTTTTGTTCATTCACATGTTATATATGTAAAACATAAAAATAAAAATTTTCTACTTACCTGCGGCACTAGACAACATCAGTTTGTATAATGTTTTTGTTGAAAAATCAACTCTTCTCCTTTTAAGCATTTTATAGATAATGTGTAAACAAAACTCTATAATATTTTCTTTTCGATAACAATCAACGATTCATATCTCTTCAATCGTCTATTAAGACGAAAGTGTCTATCTGCTGCTATCAGTCAAAATTTGAAGTGTTTTAGTTAATAGGACTGTTAATATTTACTTTCCCTTGTCTACTTCTTTCAGTATGAACACGAATTTTGTTATACTTAATCAAATTGAACTTTATCAAGTACATACACGAATAAAAAAGAATTGCAGCGGTATTAAAAAAACCTGTTGTAGATATGCATATATTTTTTGGGAAAAAACTGTTTTTTTTTTTACTTTAAAGTATTTTAAAACAAATTCTTCTCCAACAGTTACACACATATACTGTCCAAAAGAAAACATTAAAAAAGTCATTTCAATTTCTATATCAACGATTTGTACTCTTGAATAGTTCGTCTTCTCAAATGATATTTACAGCCTGCTCTTATTTCATTTGAAGTAAACCGTCATGAAAAAAAAGACCAAAAGCGATTTGAAAATATAACAGAGATCCGAAAAGTAAGGATATAAACAGCAAATGTGCATGATCGATTTACTGTATATGCTAGCTTTCAGCAAGAATAAGCATAGTGAATTGATACTTGAAGCAACATTGTCTAACTGTATGCGTGAGTTCATTTTTCTTTATTTATAAAAGCAATTTTTTATAAATTATTTTAGTTCGTGCTATGACTATGAACAAATTATTTTTATAAATCTATTAAATAAAATGGAAGAAAAAGGAACTACTGACATTTACAACGAGATTAGATAAGAATTTTTTTTAAAAAAAAATTTGTTACAATTTAAAATTTTTGTATTATTATTCTATGTTTTTTTTTTTTTGTGTTTTGTATACCATGTTGTCATCCTGCTGTATTTATTTTTATCTTATTATTTTCTAGATAGAAAATTAGAAAGACGAAGAAGGAAAAATAAACATTTTTTCAAATGTTGAAAATTATACCTTTATCCGTATACTAGTTTGACAAAAAGAAAAAGAAAATCTTTTTCTTTCTTTTCAAGAAATATCGAAGAAGAAGTGGGAGAACAGGGTAAGACATTTATGCATTCTATAACTTTAAATGTGCTCTAACTTACCATATAGATTTGGATAGGATCATTCGGCACAGTTTTCACATACAAGTTTGATAAGATGTGATGTGTACTTTTGTTTTGTTCATTTATTTATTTTTTTTCATGTTTCTGTGTATATATGTGAGTTATTCTATAAGTCATAATATTTCTGTTTTATATAATCGCATTCGATAAAAAAATTCGTTTTTTTAGATATTAAAAAGTTTTAAACTTATTCAGTGAGATAATTGAGAAAAAAGTTACAATGAACGTTAGATTATGAAAAAAACAAATAATTTTTTTTATTGAACATCAATTATTGCCAATTTTTGGCAAAGGAAAGAAGAAATATTGTTTATAAAGATAAAAATTCATAAATGTGAACTCATTAGTATGTGAAATTCTTGAGAAAAAGAGAATTCACATTTAGTACAATTGAAGCACAGGAAAATGTGTAACAGGAGGAAATATTAGTATTTTCAGTCGACTTTTAACGATCACTGTTCGTGCTGTAGTTGTAACCTTCCTTATTCAGACGTTTTCTTTTAACCGAAACTTTTACTCAAGTATTCTCCATATAGTTTGAATAGTGTCACGCACATCAACTAACCATTTTCCACTATGTTAGTTATACATTTATGCCCACTTTACTATGATAAAAGAGCCTATCAAACGAATTATATATGGTAGTAACAGTATTTTTAACCACACAATGTTGTTTTTCATTGATTTATCAATTGTTAGATATTCTCTGGCGATAAATAGGAGTGAACCAATTTTTTGTCTGATAATTACTATTTTCGATGTTATTAACCTTGTCACAGAAGTTATTTCGTTTTTGTTACATTCAATTATGTTTTATCTAAGGATAGAAGTGTTTGCGAATTGTTTTTCAAAAAAAAAAAAGCCGTTTTTAATTAGAATGATAGTAACTCATGCATATGTTGGTCTCTGGAGAAAACATCTAGGAATTATGTCATAGTGAAATGAATAAGTCTATTATCTTTGTTGAGCACAAATAATATACAGAAGGTAAAAGAATGTGGGTCATTATTCATAAAAAAAAAGAGAAGAAAAAAAATGTCCATGGTGAATATTATAGTCTCTCTCTTTTCTCTCTCACATTCTAAGGCAAACAATGGCATTTTAAACGTTATATCTATAACGATTTTTGTATTGAACATAAAGTTGTTGTTGCAGTCAATTTTATGCTTTTACTATATGCACGACTTTTTCTCTATTCTTACTTCGACTATACATTAATAACAGGAGAAAAAAAAGAAGAAGAAGAAGAGAGATAATTATTTTCTACGTCTCTCTCTCTCTCTCTCTCTTTTGCGATGTTTACCTGTAATTTTTTCGGTTCTTTTTATGTGTTCGTTCCTAGGAAAGGAACCTTTACTTTTATTTTTGACTGTAGGGACTATTTTCCCATTTTAAAAAAAAAAAGTGAAAGAGAACTATTATATTGAACAATATTGATTTGTGAACTCTACTATATACTCTTGTAAGTCGCTTTATTTTTAAGATAAAAGAAATTTTATTATCAAGTAGGTATTGCCACTTAAAGCTTAGTCTGTTTAGATAGAGTGCCTATGACAGCTAGGATGCGTTTTTTTGATCTTTTTTTATATTAAATTCAATTGAACGTGGAAAGAACATTAATAGAACAGAAAAAGAGAAATGTGTAAAATTATCAACACCTCATCATAAATAAAATAGAATTTTCTTGTTCATGAAAGTTAAAAACATCAGCATTAGGTATTCGATGACATGTTTGACTTCTACAGTCAGAATCTTGATACTCTCACAGCGAAATTTTTTAGAGATAAAATGAGGCATATATAGAGTATTCTTGTCGCAATATGTTTGTTCTATTAACAAAAGTTTCTTCTATGGTCCGTCACCAATATTCGACAATCTTTTTGTCAATTAAAATGCGTTTTTTCAAAGACTATTTTACTAATATTTTTGTTTATCTTTTATTGATAAATAATTAAAATTCCTATAAAAGATATGCTATTTTTAAATAAAAACGTCTTGTATCAAAAATCATATCAAACAATGTTGTGCATTTACCCCAATTTATTATCTTTACCTGATATAGAATATCTGAAGATTGTTTTAAATACTGATTAATCGCTGTTCATTAAATCATAGATTTTTATTCATCGGTTGATTGCGAGAGAAAGAGAATAAAAGATCAAAATTAACATTTTGTTATCATCTATTTATAAAACATATTCCGAATGGACTTACACGCTTTTGAAACATACTATGTATGGGAATTACATGTCTTGAAAAAGACAATCGCTTTCAGTATTTCTTCTTCCGTATGTTTATGTTTCGATGTGAACATATATGATGTATGTTCACATGTATGCGTATATATTACTAAATAAACGCTGTCTGTAGTCTCAATTTTATATATACTACGGGTAAGTTATTAAGTCAATGATATTGACAAGCAAGAATTAACAATAGCTATTGTCCACTGACAATAGATATTAATTGAAATTTAATCATTTTATCTAGGTTATAGTTGCTTATAAAGAAGTATAGTTGATCTATTGTTTTATTTTCATTATTTTCCATTTTTTAGATGGCTTTGTTTTTTGTTGGATACTTAATTGCTGTAAGCAGTACTATAGCCTTTATTGTGGCTATATTGACACCAAAATGGATATATCCAAATATAGCTGGATCAACAAGTGAACAGAATTATCGTGGGATATTTTTTGTTGATGATAATACTACATCATGTAGAGATTTTATTCTTATGTATAAAGAATCAGTTACAGGATGTCGAACACGTAAGTATTTAAAATCTAGAATCAGTTCTAAAACACTGTTTCCTCCTTGTCCACTATAAATTATTAGTCTTCAAATTTCAATTTACTTTTTTATTTTTAGCTTATGCCATTGCATGCGCATCTTTAGCAATAGCGGCATCATCATTAAGCATTATATTATTATGGTTAGCTGGTGCTTATTTGTATATTCGTCGAAGACGTTTAGCCATTCATTTTGTGTCTCTATTGGCTGCTCTTACAATGTTCATATGTAAGTTGTATATTCAAATATAATAACTAGATTTCAATCATTTCGAGACATACATTTTATTGAGATGTATCAATAAGGTTTAGTATTGGACGGATTTTGTGTAACATATTGAGATCGATTTTTTAACCACTAATATAAATTGATGTTCTAAACAATGGATTAAATTCATAAGTGTTGCTATTTATAAGGCGACAGTACAACGGTTTAGATTGAGTTTTCTTTCTTCCAGTTATAGTACAGAAAATATAAACACGAAAAAAAAGTCGAAGTTATTGAATTGAAATCGATGTCTCTTATATGGATTAGTGTAACTGAAATAAAACGGTAACTGAATTTGATTAAAGCACATTGAGATGTTAAGTAATGTTATGACGTATTATCTAAAATATGAGGTTACACAGAAACTCAGAGTTGCACAGAAATAAAAAAGACACGTTGCTACTTCAGACACATGACACAATAAGATGCACATGTGACACGAGGACATCAAAAGACATTTTCAATTGTCTTAAGATCTCCCTTTTTTTACAGTGACATTGCTTAATATTTTATCTATAGTTTTAATAATTATTTTCTTAATTTTTAGTTTGGTTAACCGTTATTATATGGGTTGTCATGATTACGATGAATAGAGAAAATTCAAAGATAAAGCGTGAAAATATTGGCTTTTCTACATGGATTGCTGTTGGCTCAAGCGGTGGTTTTCTTCTTGCATTTGTACTGTTTTTATTATACAGAATTGATCTCGGACATCGAAGGTATTTGAAACAAGCTGATCCACAATATTCACGTCGTTTCTAAGTGTTTGCCGTTTTTGTTTTTGTTCGACGATACATCGTCTTCTACATGTTAAACATATATCGCATCCGCGTTCGAGTTTAACTACTTTGAACTTTACTGCCGTGATGCCATATTTTGGATATACGTCTATGGTTTGTGCTGTTCAATGTAGAATTAGCATCGTATATACTTGACATATCGCTTTAAACTAAGAACTAAAACGTTATCTATACATCTATCCACGCAAAATTCTTGTTCCAATCGGGTCAAATTTTGTTAAACAGCTGCTGATTTCAGTGTTCTCTATTCTATTTCCAAATTTACAAATAATAGAAAGATTGAGTTAAATTGATATTCGATGTATATAAGGCCATAACAATGTATATTCGTATTGTTCTTTTAAAAATGTGTGAAAAAATTTCATACTATTAAACTACTTCACATTTAACAAACATCAACAAGCATGTAGCTAATTTTCTAAAATATCATATTGAGCAATAACTATGTATAATTAATTTTTGGATTTGCGAATCATATTTTAATTAAAAGATTTTCTTCATCCAGCATTCTTTCTGAATGCTTTATCCATCTGTTATTTGGTTTCTTAAATTAACTTTTCTTTCTAACTTAAATGGGTATATATCGTTACGTCATTTTTTCTAAATATTTAAAGTGTATTGTCACTTTGGAAGATGGAACTGTGGTTTCTTGATACTAGTGTGCTAATTAGATAATACAACTCCTGTTTTTTACTTCTTTCTTTGCCCTAACACGTTAGAAAAAAAAAAATTGAAATGTATTTATTGTCACAGTTGACTGTTGAAAAACTGTGTACACACATATGTACACGAGTGTTTATGTTAGCATTAGAAAAAGGAAAACATTATCTTCATAACAAATATTTACTTGAGAATCAATTCAATTGATTGTATATCACTGTTTTTGAATCTTTTCACAAGATTCATGCATGACTTTCAAAATAGAATAGAGTAAAAAATGTATTTTCTTTTCTTAAAAGAAAAGAGCTTTACTACAAGGTTGGTAAGAAGAGGATAGTGAGCATTATATCTACCTTAGATAAAATGGACTTTTCGTTCTAAACTTACATGGCCTACGTTTTTATATGTACATACATGCTTCAGAGTTTCACGATGGGGCTAATAAATATTGTCATTTTTCAATTTCTTGAAATATACCGAGTTGAGAGCGGTATCTAGAAACTACATTTTTATTCTGAAGATCATTCTACAAGACATAAGCTAATGTAGTTTCAAGAAACTCATCGCGTGCAATAATAACGAAAGAATATTGTGATGTATGCGAGTAAGTACGATCATCACTCATATATTTATAGACCCGATATATCTGATGATTATGATCTTTTGTATTCTTTTACGTTCTATTGTCGGCATATGAGAATCATGAGATTTACTTATTCATGTCTCTTTGATGTGGTTCTATTAAAATTTCCTATCATAACTTTTAGACAACATTCATGCAAATTCTTTCCGTTTATTTCTCTGACTTATTAAAACATTTCATTTACCATTTATATATTTTTCTTTTTTAGTTCATCGCACGATTTGTATTCAGCGTGATTAATCAGAAAAATATATTGCACATATATTTTATCTCTCATCCTTTCTCTCGTTGTACTGTACATATATACTTGCTCAATATTTAGACCGGGAATGAGTCGCATCGATCAAATACACCACTATAGTATTATTATTCATGATTTTCTTGCCATTTAAATAGAAAACTCTTTTTTTGAATATTGCTTTGATTTGTCATTCCGCTTCCGAAATATAATCATTATTCCAAAGTTGAAGAAAATGTTTGTTGCTTGTTTGTTTTTTGTTTTTTTTGTCATTTTGCTAATACAATTTTCTTAGATTCAGTTATTTCTTTCTTTGAAAAGTTGAAGTTTTTTCGTGTACTATGTACAAAACCCAAATATCAACTTCTCGAAACTATATATACATATATATGGATATATCTGCGTGGGTGTATCTACAATGAAGGAGAAAAAAACAGTTTTATATTTGTTGTAAATAGTCCGGTATTGTTTGTTTTTCATTTTTTTTTAATGCAACTTTGTCTAACAGTTTGATGTGTGGAAATGCATTTTATAAAGCATAGCTTTTGTGTTTTTGTTTTTGGAATTTTAAAAAAATTTACAATTCCAGACAAAATCTAAACAAGTCTAACACAAACTTGATCTTCTTTCAAAAATGATATTTATTTTTGTCCTATGCAAATTTCTACATATGTTATTGGTAGAAAAAGAAGAATGATGGACTACGTCATTTTTATAGAAACTTTTTTAATAAGATAGAAAGACGATTGTAGTTTTCAACAATCAAACGCAAAGACTATGAACATCTTTCGTGGAAAACGTCTTGTTCTTTGGAAGTGGAATTTTGAGGGTGTTCTCAAAGAACTCGATCACAAGTCGAAAACGTTTTATATAATAAATATTTTAGTTTTTTTTCATGTCTGAATAGCTCTGAATGTCCTTTTCAAAATAAGATTCAAACGAGACGTTCATATTTTAAGAGTGACAGTACTTATCCTTGAATCTTCAAGACTGGTGGCTCGTGTAGAAGAAAATATGAATTTTGTTACGAGTGTCACTGTAAGATCAAAATTTTCATGCTATTAAAATGAGGCTACTATTAAAAAGGGCAAACAAACCGATAAATAAACGCGGGAATAATCTATTCGTAGCCTTAACGCAATGAATCAGTGCTATCTGGGTGGTGTCTCAAGAATGCAAAAAATGCTCGACTTAATTAATGAATATTGAAAGAATGCCGTTAAAGAATGTAAATGTGCCAGGATATGGACTCATTCTGCTACTTACAAACCACAACCGGATTTAGTCTCAGTAGCTGCCTTCATTCTATCTGGATTTATACATTCACCTTCTTCATCTTCATACCTTTAAGTTCACTAGATTTTAGAAAACGTCTCGAACCCCTACCCGGTTCAAGTTCGGAAGTAGAAATAGGTTTTTTTCTCACTTTCAACCATTTGGGATCATGTAAATTAGCGTATATACTGTCACTTCTGGAATCCTGGCAAATCTTAGGACTTTTAGGTACCTGATTTCTTCAGGATTCTATAAGATTTTGTTAGGATCCTACTCAAAAGTAAGCTGAATCCTAAAAGTATCCTAGTAGGACTTCTCTAGGATCCTGTCAGGTTTCTTACTAAAGTTTAGGTATGTCAGCATAAAAGCTTCACACATGTACTATGAAGCACCCAAAAGTTATGGAACAAAGCATATTAGTGCATTTTTTGTCATATAGAAATGTATTTTCATTTTTTAATTGTAAAAGTCACGTATTTCTGGCAAGTATAACAATCTCACACATATAACAGCGCTATAGGTTGAGGATTCTACGCTGTTTTTAACTGAATTATGATTTACAGTGCAATAAGCATAGCTTCTTTGTGCTCTCTTTCTTGGCATGTGTTCTGACGCATGAAAGTTTTTTTTCTTACAAAAAGCTTTTTAATTCTGTAAAATATTTCTCAAAAATTTTCTTCATTTTTTAGCACGTTGGTACGTGTCACAGGCTTTTAGTAATGGCTGAAAAGCAAATTCTACCATAACATGGTAATAAAAACGGAAAATTGTTTCAGTTCAGACTAGAGGCCAGATCAAGTTTAGAAAAAAAGTTTTGGGTCACTTAGATGAATGTAAACAAAAAGCGTTAAGGGTTGAGTTAGGGTCTGTACAGCAAAGAAAAATTTCGAGCTTGTCAGGTTAAATTTAGAGGGAGAAAACGCATTATGCTAACTTATTTTCTACAGGAAGGCCTTCCATACATTTCATAATGACCGATGGTTTTTTCACAACCGCAATTCTTTTAAAAAGCTCGAGAATTTTTCGATGTTCGAGTCGTTTAAAAAAAATATTTTCAGTAAAGAAGATCGAAAGTTTCGGATTTTGAGTCGGGTTTAGGTCAGTTGAACGTGATTCCATTCGACCTCTGGTTCACACCCTGAACAGCAAGCTTTTCGTTCAGATCTTCAACAGGTCAGTTTTCAATAAACAAGATCCAGGACGACCAGTCCTTGTCTCACTGGAATGATTACTTTTCTAGAGTGGGAGAAATCTTGTGTATTGTCGCTTCTACCGTGAATTCTTGAGTATGACATTCCCTTAACATAATGTTTGAAGAGTATTTCTCTGAAAACAGTAAAAAAAAGCAGATTTCAGCTGTAAAGACTAAACTAAACTGTAAAACAAAAGAGAAAGCAAATTTTATCTGAACCGAATAACACTCTAATAATTTACACTGAAGCATAAACACTCTGCATACAACCATACATCACAAAGAATCAGTTTTACTTGATGACGAACCATGCAACATAAAAGTCGTCGCGTATTGAGAATTGTTTTAATTATCGTTTGTGCGCGTATGGGTCATATCATAAATAGAATATGGATATTATACAAAAAAAAGCACTATTTCCAAAATATCTACCGAACCATGCATCTCAAAGTTATACATTTCTTGATTCTGGAACATTTTTAAAAGATCGGTTTTACTAAAAGCATGACCCGGACTTAAACTATAGCTAAAGCTATAGTTGTGAGACTGGTTAAAAAAAGGTATACCAGACTGATGTACTGTAATGTACGGACCTGATGAGTGTCTTTCATTACGTAATGAAAATGTTTTGATGGCTTTATCAGTTTTGATGCAAAAGTCAGAACCGAAAAACTTTGGCACGATCTTTGAAACTTCTTTTTATAGAAGCGGATATCCTTGAAACTATATTCAAAGCCTGTCAAGTTTTTCTCCTAATACATTACTATATGCAGTTTAAGAAAGTCCTTGAAAAGAATAATGAATACATCAAGAGTGAGACTACATGTGGCTAACTATTGATATCACACATTAGAAAATACTATTTTTGTTTTACTGTTTAAAAGAAAAAAGATATATATGAATCATCGTTATTAGTAATAGTGACAAAAATGAAAAATGTACAGAAGATAACATTTTGTATATTGTACATCACAAAGAGAAACATACACACACAGATGAGACCACGCAAGAATTTTTTGACATTAGTACTTAAATAGAAAACCTTTGTGTATAAAGCATGCGTGGTATGCGTGCAGGTCTTTTCAACCTTAGTTATTTTTCATCTATAAGTAGAGAATTTAACAGTGTTATTACCATTCAGTCGTCAGTCAGATATACAGTCTACAGTGTTTCAATCTGACTTTTCCAATTTATAATAAAAATGTCTTTAACATTTCTGACATTGTTCTTGTTAATAATAACGGTAAGTTTACTTTCTTCTCAAATTAGCATCAAAGATTTTCTGCATTATTATCAAAAAATTACAAAGAATGTTCACAAAGGGTGATCTTTAAATTTAAAGTTGACAGCTACATGTTATTTCCTACTTTGCTCAGTGGAGACAAGTCTTTGCTAAGCTGCTGAGATGAAGAAACGTCTTGAAAAATTCTGAATCATAATTCCACCTGACAATCTTTTCTCCCATACGGTACTAATTTCTAGAAATGTGTAGGTCAAAGAACTAAGATCTGACTGGCAGGCGGTTGAGAGGCACAATTTTTATACATGTGCTTGTGGTGGAATTGAATAAAGTACATTCCACAATAAATAAATAAACACAATTCAAGAGAATTGAATAGGACAGCTTCAGGCCATGGAAATGTTTTTAGGATAGGGCGCAGGGTGCAAAAATCAGCCGTTCTGCACCCATCTCTGTTTTCAACTTTGTCTTTTCAAATCTAGGTTTCTACGCTACCGTTGGAGGATGAAATTAAAAGCAGTTTTGGTAAGTTATAAGTAAATAATGTTCGAATTAAAAATATAGTAAGAAGGTTGATCTGTTTTCGCTTTAGAACTCAGTAAGGCATTTTCACATGTTTGTTCATCAGATCTCGATGTTGATCAAGGGTTATGTTTTCATCCCGCTCACAATTCGATACCTCGTCTATTGGAAGTTCGTGGACAGGAAACAATCATTCCGTGCGTATTGAATAAGCCAACCGAACATGTTTATTGGTATTTCCGAAGTCGATATTCGAATACATCAACATGGAGTCTCATTCGAACGTTAGATTCTAATAAAAAAGAATTAGAAAACACAAATTTGGTCACAAGTATGTGCTTTAATTATTCAGTCAACATATATCTTGCATACCGCTATAGTAAAGATTCTTTAAACACTTATGAATTATAAAATCAGTTCCAATCCTTATTGCTAATATTCCTTTGGAGTATGTCGATAAACGTGTCCATCTAGCACTGACTTTGACACCGACACTTAAACGGAAAGCTCATATCGACACAGAGCTACATAACACTGATTGACTAAAGCAAATTTAGTAACAGGCGACTTGGGTAGTATCTGGAGCGTTAAGGGGTACACCACAGGTGAAGATACTGAAGGATCTCGATTGGTTATCCATTCAAGTACTTATTCATGTTTTTTTTCCTCAACTCAATGAATATTTATTTACTAGAGAAAAGCTAAAAGCATCACTAGTATGTGCTCTTTTTCTTCCGCCTCTAAAAAACCACCTCTCGCCAAAGATAGAATATCTTCAGAGTTATCGAGTGTGGTGAATACGAAAAAGCATTTTTCTATCTTAACAATACTTGCAATTATCGAATTTTTTAGTGAGAAACGGTACAAATGGCAACTATTCCTTAATCCTTCGAAATCTAACACCAATAATGAACGGTGAATATAATTGTGCAGTGAAAACTGATGAGATGACAGAAGCAGCATTTGTCGTGTACGATTTAACAATAACAGCACCTCTATTGTGTTCTGAAAGAATTGAATACTGGCCATGCTTCGAAAATCAACCACATGTTGATACTGTTATTACAACACCCGGTAACAGTTTAATATTACCATGTCGTGTTAGTTATGCTGCAGGTAAACGTTTCTCTTCTTTAAATTTAAGCAAATTAGTTAAATATCGATGTTTGTAAATATTTAGAATCAAATATCGAATGGTGGTGGATCAGTAAAAATAGTTTAAGCCTTCGTATATTTCCTGCTTACATACAGGTTAGACCAACAGCTCAACGTTTCATCTTGAATAGAACAATATCCAATACCAGTGATGTAACAGTCGATATGTCAATTGTGTTAAATCACGTTAATGTTGATGACAGTGGACTTTATCGTTGTGTTGTAGTACCACAGTATGAAAAGGGACCTACTCAAATTTTGGATTATTATGTTGAACTAACAAGTATGTATTCTACTCTTCTTTTTTGTCACCGGCAACATAAGTCACTTTTCTGTCTTTCAAAATGAAGAGTTTCAGTTATTTTCCAATGAAGACCCGCTGTTTGAAATATTTAGGTCCTCGTCTTTGTCAATTTGGCTACAATGGGGCTCCATGTTTTGATAATATGGTTACAAGTTCACCGGCAATAGTTGGAGCATACAAAAACGTCGCTCAGTTACCATGTCGTGTTTATGATTATAAGAGTATGTTCTTTTCAGAACGTATACCAGTTAATTCAATTTTATTTCTGATTTTAGAATTTTCAAATATATTTTGGGTAGCAGGTGATAGTCCAAATAATAGTTTGTTGATCACTCATCATCTCGCTTTCAGTGATTATAAGGGTGATCGCTTACGTCGATTATTTCCATTCTCACCTAATGATTTCTCACTTCAAATCGAAATCAGTGACAATGTCAACAGTGAAAAAACATATTCTTGCGTTATTGAAGGAACATCAACATATGAAACAACATGGTTTACATATAAAATTCAACATTTAAGTAAGGAATAACAAATTGCAGTCATTATCTGTTTTAAAGCTTTTTGTTTGTTATTGAAGATGGTGAACAAGCTATAATAACAAAAGATGAGCAGAAAATGGCAAAACTAATGCATCAATTTGATGTAGATTCAAAACAAACAATAGCCAATGCATTACAAAATAAAAATGAAAAAAAAAAAGAAACAACTGATGAACAATTAACGACTCTATTTTCCAATACACAAGACAACAGATATCAAAATTTAATTTGTATGTGAACAAATGTGTGAACAGTATACCAGTTAGATCGTCTCTCTCTCTATTCTTTTTTTTAGTTATACCAGTTGTTGTTCAAGAGAAAAACGGTGATTCGTACGATATCAGTGATGTAAGTCAAATTTGAATAAGATTATAAATTTTTTATTTTCTTGTTTTTTTCCTTCAAGAAATCATTTTGAACAGTAATGGCAAATCCATGAATTTTCAAAAATTATTCAGAAGAAAAAAAAGGGACGATTTTTTTGTTTTTTGTTGTGGATTATTTTGATATATGAGATGTTTTAGTATGTAGATGTGTAAGGCTATTTTAGTCAATTTTTGACGAAAATTTGTTTTAAAAAACTTGTATCAGAAGACTTTCTTAAACAATATAAACCAGTATTTTAGAATTATTTGATATATGTAATCATCCATCAGTTAGATTCAAAAAACTTAAAACACGTAATTGTCGATTACAGAGAAGATCATACATGACTCAATATGATCTTGTTGTTTTACGATCCAGTATAATCGTATGAAATTCATTTCGGATTGTATTACAATCTTCCTTGATGCGCAGTGTCCGTAAAGTTCCAAGGTCTGCATCGTATGATTATCCGACTTTGTAAACATAGTCTCCGACAGACTTGTGTGATTGTATACGATTCTATGTTCAAAATTATATTATATATTTTTACGGTCATATATGATTTTGTAAGGTCATACCTGTTTTTCTTTTTTTTTGTGAAAATGTGACATTCATTAGAAAGCGTATCAATCTAACCGAGAAATATGAAAGTTTATTCGATTAAAACCGATTGCAGATGTAGACTCTTCATAGTGGATTATTCTATACGTAAGAAAATTCCAGTGGAGATGTTCGATTATGTATAATCCAAATTTGCAATCGGTTTCGATTGAACAAACTTTCAAAATTTCTCGGTCAGATTGGTACATCCCATCTGTAAATAAAAGAATATAAATATCAAAAAAGCGCCTCAGGAACGTTTATGCGATCGAAACGAGAAAAAAATACTAATGATTTTCCTTTGATTCTGATCGAGAGAGCAAAAATAGTTAATTGAGAATATAATCTAATTCCTCGAAGAAATATGTATTCCAACGAAATTCTTTAGTTCAATGGTATAGTTTTGATAGAAATTCGGTAATTTTCTGACAAAGTGATATCTAATCTGATACTGATTTTCTTTTCATTATTGACAAAAGCATGTTGAATCCGAATATTTGGTGAACGATTTTCGTAGCGGACTGTTGCTGTAGCTGTATACTCTAACTCTTACTTTGAAGAATTATGATTGCTATTCATGGAGATTACCACCAGATTCTTCACATCAACTGCAATACAATAGTCATTCTTATCCTATAGACTGAAAAATTCAAATCTGAATGAATCTTTAGCTTCTATTCTCTAAAACAAAGCGTATTTTACAAAATGGAAAGGGTTTTAGGTCATTGTTGCTAAACCCATAAGGATTTTTCGTCATTACTAAACCCCTTATACTTTTTCTAAACTCTAAAGAAAGATTTTGATAAAAATGAGAGAGGGTTTTGTATGACGGAAACAAATGTTTTTTCTTTCCGAAAATAAAAGACTTTAATAATAGACTAAAAAGAGTTTTATAAGATTGCTTTCATTTTGGTAGAAAATATCAAAATGTGAAGGGCTATTTTTAGCTTTACTCAAAGTTTGCACAAGAATATGTTGTTAATACAAGACTTATAAATACAGTTCGTATAATTCTTCTGAAGTTTATTGCGTCTTTTTTATTATCTAATATTTTTTTTCTACTTCGACTCTATAGTCGAGAAGAAAACTTTATAAAAATATAGGGATGTATTGAGAACCTTATTTTTGGTTATCGCTTTTCTCAAGATTTTAAACAGTTTTTGTCTCTAATAAACTTCTGTTGACATAGACTTCGTGTGAAGTAAAAGTGGTTTTTATCTCATAAAACAAAAGTGGAATAAAAAACTAGTGGTTTGTATTAGCCTGAGGTAATAAGTTATTTAGTAGTCCTTAAAAACTCGTTACAACTCCAATCATATCACCTACAAATAAAGGGCTCTTTTGGTTATTAACAAATTAGCTGTTACAGGGTCGGAAAAAATGTTTTTCCAGGGGGTAGCGCTTAAACTACAAATGATGTCACAGAGTGTTATATACCAAATTAATGCCCATTAAAAATGAAATTTATGAGTATGATCGATGGTCCATACAACGATTAATGGCTATTGAATTATGAAAATCTCTTGAACACTATGGCTAAACGCGCTCGTGTTTTACGATTTTCATTCTTCTGGTACATATTTTTGACTAAAATAATAGCAGATTCGTGATCTCCATCAAAAACTAAATCTATAGATATGTCATTCTGTATATTTTTGACGAAAAACAATTTTCAAAAAATATCCTGAGGGGTGCCCCAGACAAAAAATTTCAAAAATGTTTTTGAATAAAAATATCTTGATTCATACCTCATTCGACACAGTTTTTGACGGAGATTGCGATGATATCTGATCCGGAGATTACAAATGTCATCTAATATCTACTTGAAGGCCAAAGCTTGAACGATAATGCTATGTTAAAAAAATGATATGTATGTGTATGAAGATTGATCTGGCTCCATTGAACCAAATTGTAAACCAATGAGATATTTGTAGAGAACCTTACTGACGATAAGAGCAATAAAACGAGTTCGTATTTTGCAATTTTCACTGTTTTATGACATTTTCCGTCAAAAATAATATCAAATTCGTAATCTCCGTCAAAAACTGTGTCGAATGAGGTATGAATCAAGATATTTTTATTCAAAAACATTTTTGAAATTTTTTGTCTGGGGCACCCCTC